GAGGTCTTCAAGCAAAAGTGGAACCTTTTGACATACAATGTCTCTAGCCTCCAGCCACGCAAGAGTGCTTTCTATGTCACTTATCTTCGACAGCAAATCGCCAAAGCTGGATATGAAGTGAGCTTCCTGCAAGAGACTCGTTGCCGAGAGTCGCAGATGCTGACTTCACAGAGCCATTACAGGCTTACTTCGGCGGCTGAGGCGGGCCGAGGAGGCGTTGAGATCTGGTCTTTGCGAGAAAAGGAGCCTGATTGCAGAACAGGTTTTCGCAAGGAACTGATTCAGGTTCTACATGCCGAGCCACAAGTGCTGATTGCCAAGGCGACTTGCAAAGGAGTGGAGTATTTGTTTTTCACATTCCATGCGCCCCACAGTGGAGCACCTGATGAAGTGCATCAAAAATTCTGGATGAATCTCCAGAACGAGCTGGTTCATTGGACTCAGCGGTTTCCTAATTTTGTCGGTGGTTTCGATGCCAATGCACACGTGAGCTTTGAGACTGAACCGCGCATCGGGACGCATGGATTGGAGGCACGAACAAATCTGTCTGGGACATATCTCCAATCACTGTTGGTGAATATTGGTGGATGGCTTCCATCCACCTATGAATGCTGCCACTCTGGAGACACAAGCACATGGATCAGTAACGTGAATGGGCAAGGTGCGAGATGCGACTGAGGTGTTTTTGCCTCGAGGAAAGAAATCCAAGCCTCGATGTAGCTTTGACCGTCGAGCTTTGCAGCAATGCCCTCGCACAAGACTGGCGGATATTTTCCAAGACTGTCCAAAGATCCCATGGAGCACGGATGTCCATCAGCATGCCACTGAGTTGGCGCAATGGATAGGGGGGACAATTGCAATCGCATTTTCCGCCAGCCAAGACCAAGCCTTGCAAGTCGTATATTTCTGATCAGACCTGGCAGATCCGACAAACACGCACAAGAATGAGGAGATTGATGGCTAAAAAAGCCTCTTCCATGACACGATACATCGTGATGCGGGCCTGGAGAGCAGGAGATCTGATTCCGACAAAGGATCTGTTCCTTATGACAATGACGCATGTCAAGCTGATCGTACAGATTCGCCGACAGGTTGCTCAGCTGACAAAAGACCTGCAGAAGGCGCTTCGTCATGATAGGACGATGTCACTGGAGCAGCTCGGAGAGCAGGCCAAAAGTATGACCCAAGCGGATTTCGCTGCAGCACTCAAAGCATTGGGAGTCCAAAGCAAGAAGAAACCATCGTATGCCTTGCCGCTGCCTATGGTCAGAGACAAAGATGGTATGCCGCTGGACACCTTTGAGAAAATCGCTGAGCGCTGGCGTAGCCATTTTTCACAACAGGAAGATGGGCAGTCTATCACAATCGATGAGCTGATGCAACTCTGTGATGCGAAGTCCACACAAGACTTCATTTGCCCAGAATGGTTCCAGCTCCCGACTTTCCAGGAGGTTGAGGCAAGCTTTCGACGAACCAAATGCAATAAGGCCTTCTTTGCTGACGACATACCAGGTGATCTATTGTCCAGAATCCCACATGTCCTCACCAACTGCTTCTTCCCGCTGCTTCTGAAACAAGCAGCGTATCAGAAAGAGGCTGTGCTACACAAGGGCGGCAGACTTGCGCCAGCATACAAGAAAGGCGATTCGACGGACTGCAATAGCTATAGAAGCCTTTTTATCTCTAGTCCGCTGGGCAAGGCACTTCACAGCATATATCGCCAAGAGCTGGGTCAGATTTTTGATCGCCAACGTCTCCAGATGCAGCTGGGTGGCCTCAAAGGGCATTCGATCGTTCAAGCCAGCCATGCTCTTCGCCTATATCACACCAGTGCCTTGAAAGAAGGAACAAGCTGTGCTTTCCTCTTCATTGATATCCAAAGTGCATTTTATCGGCTTCTGCGTCAACACCTGACGACATGCACACAAGATGGACGAGGAGTTGAACAGCTCTTCCATAGTCTAGGCCTGAATGAGCAAGCTTTTGATGAATTTCAAGCATTGCATCATGGAAGCCAGCATTGGAAGCATCAGACGCAAGCCCATTTTTGATCAGTCTGTTTCAAGAGTTTTACCAGTCCACTTGGTACTCGGTCACAGGCAGCGATGTCCTGACGCTAACCCGGAGAGGAAGCCGACCGGGGGATTCATTTGCTGACATTTGCTTCGGGTTTGTCCTCTCCCGGATCATGCGGAAAATCGAGGAGCGGCTGGTGTTAGATTTTCCATTTATGGCGATGGATTGGAATTGCCAGTGTTCGGCTTTTTGCTCCGATGTCAATCAGAGATGTCTTGGCCCCCCTGCTCCCTATTTGGGCAGACGATGTTGCGGTGGCCATCCGACATGACGATGCGAGTGAACTACTGGCGAATATACCGTTGATTGCTAATCATGTACTACATGCTCTGGCGGTAGCGGGGCTCCAACCAAATTTGAAACCGGGGAAAACAGAGATCCTTGTTGAGCGGCGCGGAGAAGGAAGTCTTCAAGCCAAGAGGGATTGGATGGAGGCCAACTACAAGTTCTCCGTGGCGTCTCCACTGTTTGATGAACCGCTCAGATCTGTTCATTGCTATAAGCATTTGGGAACATATGTCCAACAAGGTGCTAAGCTTACCAAGGATCTTAGCGTGAAGTTTGCCATCGCTCACGACACCTTCACGAGATTCAGACCTCAAATATTTGGAAATCGCAGCCTGCGACTGCGGACCAAGGTGCAATATTTCCGGTCGCTCATCCTCAGTGCTATCACTTTCAGTTGTGCAACTTGGGAGCTGCCTACGAAGCGACAGGAGCTGCAGATGCGAAGTGGCTTTCTCAAACTCTACAAGAGATTGGCATGGGCACACGCAGGCTGTACGGTGAAAGAGTGGAGCTTTGATAAAGTCAGAGCATATCTCGAACTTCCACAACCTGAGGAAGTATGTCGTGAAGCGCGATTGAGGTATCTAATGCAGTTGATTCGAACTGGACAACCACACACGTGGGCCTTGATTCAGAAGCAGGAAACCTGGTATGCCACTGTCCGCGAGGACCTGGAATGGCTACAAGCTTTCTGTCCGGAGAACGACATACCTACTGGTGATGAGAGAACGACTGGTGGAAAGCAGAGGAGTGGGCGCATCACCACCCTCGACAATGGAAGAGTGTCATCAGGAAGGCAATGGCACGTACAGTGAGCTACCATGTTCGGTGGTATGATTGGTCAGCCTGGCATGCCGATATACAGAATGAACTTGTGGAGATGGGAGCAATACCTATCCCACGGCCACAGTTGGCTGATGCCTTTTGGTGCCTCTCATGCGGTAAGAAGTTTGGATCAAATGCTGCGATGGCAGTTCACGCCTTCAAAAAGCATTCTCGAGTACAGATTGCAAGACGGTTTGTAGAAGGCCAGAGCTGCCTATGTTGCTTGAAAAAGTATGGTAGCTATGTCTCCCTGGTCAACCATGTCAAGCGGAAGGCATCCTGCCTGCAATACTATCAGACAAAGCCATGTTTGCTTGATCCTCCACCAGGAGTCAATAGCCGCTCTGACCGAGCCTGGAATGACCGACTACATGACCCTTTTTTGCAGGCCGAAGGGCCGCACGAAATGAGAGATGGAAGCTCTGTGATCACAGACCCACAAATCCAGGACGAGTGCACCCGACTTCAAACGATGTGGGATGCTGCATTAACGTCGACTGGTAGACGAGATGCTGCGACAGCTGAAAACGGCTACGGTCTCCTCGTATCTGTATCCCATCGAGCTCTCTCAGATTTTCGAAAGATGGTCGTATTCGAAGGAAGAAGACTGGACTCTGACACAGCTCTGTGCCATGAGATTCTTCCAGCAAAATTGTTCCTTTCAGTGGTTCCTTGGAGACACCGAAGGGACCAAATGCCTGCCACAGCAGTCTCTGGCATTCTTTGCTATTCAAGCGCAAAACCTGCAGGGACTCTCAAGCAGGGTGATACGACCCCCACAATACAACCCCAGAGTGTTTGCCCATCTGTTTTCGGGGCACGGATCGGATGTCTCCAGAGTCACCTGGAACAAGCTGGAGTATTCGCCATCTCGGTTGACATAATTTTCCATGCAGACTATGGCGACCTGGCGAAGCCTGAGACTTTCTCCTTTTTCGCAAGAGCCTTAGCGGAAAACATTTTGCTGGGATTCATCGGCGGGCCGCCATGCGAGACGTGGTCTCGCGCGCGAGGCACAGTTCTTCCTGATGGGCAGCCAGGGCCCAGGATCGTCCGCTGTCTGGCCCGGCCAATGGGCCTTCTGGGATTGACCAAAAGAGAACATGAACAAGTGGTTTTTGGAAGCAGACTACTTGGCATTACGCTGAAGTTGATGACCATTGCACTTCGCACTGGCAAAACTGCCATCCTGGAGCATCCTGCTGAGGATGATGTGAACTGCCATCAGGTATGCATCTGGCGTTTGCCTGTTGTCTGCACACTGCTGCGATTTAAGCAATGTAGACGCATAAGAGTTTTCCAGGGGCATTTCGGAGCGAAGTCTTCGAAACCCACTGATCTGCTCTGCGTCAATGTGACTGAGAAAGCAGAAGAGATGCTACTCAGTGGCCGAACAACTCCGCTACCAAAGACAGTCTCCATTGGCAAAGGAAAGCATGGCGAGTGGCTTACTACCTCATTGAAGGAGTGCCCTGGTGACTTTTGTAGGTTGCTTGCGACCCTTTTCCTTGAAAGCCAACAAGACTGCGAAGGTAATGAGACCCTTCCAGAATGGTTCACGACCCGATGCGAAACGCTGATCGGAACCTTTGACCAGGAAGCTGGAATGGGTCTCGACTACCATGGTAAGCGGTTGTTTGACTCTAATTAATATGCACGGCGGCCGCAGACAAACGTCCTTGGCGAACGCAAGAGAAAGAGATCTGCTTGTTTACAAAAAGGTGCCTACTGCTTCATGATCCCAAAGGAGCATGTGCTTTCGTGTGCTTCCAACACAAAAAATCAACCCCTGGACGGTCCGGACTCCGCAGATCCCTCCGCGGGGACGAGATCGCCTGGCCCAGCCTCTCTGAAGCTGGACGATTTGGGGAAGCCTTGCAGCGCTGGATGCAGGTGCGGTCGTAGACTCCAAAAGCCCTGGAACCATGCGGTTACGTGCCATGCCTCGGGATAGCACTACCTTTTGAAGTGATCACAGATCAGCATTCCCGATCAGTCTATCAGCACAACAGTTCATGGCACGCACGGTCCACACGGTTTGTTGCTAAACTCCAGCAACTCCATGACGTTAGGCTTTTGAAACATATCGCAGACTGTTGCAGTGGGGTCAATCATGGCCAGCAGGTGGCCTCCCAAATAGGGCAACAATGGCTTTGGTTCTCGCACACAAAAGGTCCTGCATCACCACTCGCCAGATTCACCTTGGACCAAAACATTCAATTTGCTGCCACGCGATATTGTCCAAGCATTTCTCATCCACCGTCGAGTTTCCCCTTCATTTGACACTTCCAATAATCCAACGGTATCTCCAACTTGTATAATTGTTCATTGTCAAGTGGCAAGACCAGTCTCACCCACAAGTGTTTTAGAGGGGGGCGTGATGTCACTATTTGCATACATCCACTATTCAAAGCCTTTGTGAAAGACCATATGCTTATGAAGATAACTAGTCACGGAAGAGAATGTCCACTGACATGAGAAGAAACATGGTCAAACATTTCAGTGCAATTCTTTGAAAACCATGACTTTGCATTATCCAGACTTGGCGTTCCGGCAGAGAACTACGTTTGTAGGTGCATGATCCCTCACACCAGTAATTTACAGACATTTTACGTGCCTCTTTTTTTTCCATCACTACCGCGACCTACTTCAAAAACGCCTGACAAGGTTCTTAATTGGTTAATATGTTCAATTCAGGGGTTGTTGTGTCCACATGAGCATCAGCATTATGTTTTGCATTAAAACATACCCCTGTCTGTCCTAATTATATGGGATCTCTTTAACCATCACTGGTCTTTGCAGCAAGTCACACGAGCAGACTGGAACTAAACCCTAGGACTCTGTTTGGGAAATCAGCTTTTTGTTAATAATTATCGTGTCATGTTCTTAGAGGTACAAATTGGGATGGGCCAAGTCAGTTCGATTCATTGTTCATGGCTTGCATGCTCTTCAAGATGTTTGTTGGCACCAGAGGTGGCCAGCCATAGATTGTGCAATAGTAGCCCTCGTAAGGCTTTCGGTGCACAACCAGTGTTGATTTTTGTGCTTCAAAGCTGGGAAGTGGCAAAATGGAAAAAGGATGAAAAAGGGGTACATAGGGTTGCTTTAGATGTTGCGTTTATTTGCTTTTGTTGGTCCTCACGTTTTGAGACGAAGAAATCCAGGACGCGTCCGTCACCCCACCTGAGGCGCTCGATGAGTTGGTCGCAGACCTGCCTCTTGCTTGATGAACTCTTGAAGCAAAACAGAGTTGGCGACAACAGGATCTGATTGAAGTAGATTCAAAAGGGTGTTTTGTGTTCCAGGTGTTTGTTGATTTCCCGTTTGGATGGATGGTGGGTCAAGACGACAGGAGCCTCCTTACTGTTGGCCTTGAAGATGATGGTCTTCTCAGCAACATTCTTCAACACACCCAAAGCCAACACAAAAGGACGACTTGTGCGTTAAGACTTCAGAGCATCAACTTGAAACGCCCCATTGCTTCTTTTGAAGGGGGGTTCTTGGGGGGGTCACAGATGCCAAGCCCATGAACCTGGCGCGCTTGGAGGCTTCCTTGTAATTACTGGAATTGCACACCAAGAAACCTTGAGAGCATCAGCAAAATGGAGTATGATGTTTGTGGGCCAAACATATGATGTCATTAACTCCCCTCCAGCAGCTGCGAAATCCCCGAGACCGGCAGCAGCTGCGAATCTCCGGATTGAACCATCAGTGAAGTCATTCCGGCGAAGGACCGTGGAACCACGCCATGGCCAATATTGCTTGAAACTTAGGGTGCTTGGGCATCGACGTTACATAAGAACTTAAGGAACCAATTTGCCAATCTCCCATTCTGACTTCACCCTTTGCGCTGCTGAAGGCGTCTTCATCTCAACCGCCCAGACGAGCTCTTGCGCGTGGAGCGCCGAGAGCCACCGATGGCCTCCTGCTATCCTCAACATGCACGGTACATCCGGCACTATGACAACAACTGCCACTCGGGAGATTGGGGAAGGACCGAGAGGTCGAGATAGTTGGATAAGTTGAGAAAGAATAATATAGCAAGGCCAGTCAAGGAATATAAAAGGGTTGACCTCAAATGCTCAACGAGGTCAGGTGAAGAATGGTGGGGGGGTGATGCAGGAGATGACTTCGATGAGTCAATTGCAGGCCTCTTGCGGGAAAGTCGCCTCACGGACCCAAAGGATGGCAGAATATGTTTGACCGTTCTTCCTGTTCTTTTTTCTTTGTGTCTCATAGCGATGGGCTCCAACCTAATAGCGATGGCAGGTCTCCAACCTAAGTATATTGGACCGTTCTTCCTGTTCGTTGTTCTTTGTTTCTAATGGCGGTGGCCTCCAACCTAATAGCGATGCCCTCCAACCTAGAAGCAATGGCCTCCAACCTAATAGCTACCATACTAGACTCGACCTTTCATCGGTACTGTATTGATTGATATTGATTGATACCCTGCACTACTGAAAGTCAGATCTCAACAAGTTTCAATGAGGTTCGTCAAACTGAAATACCAAACATTAGCAACATTAGCGACATTCAGTGATCATGGACAGGATGCTGGAGTCCTTGCAAAATTTGGGTGAAATCTGCTTGCTTGGTTGGTGACAAACACGAAACCAGATCACTTGTTTTAAAAACGTCAAGGTGACGAAGGCTTGGGCGATTGCAACGGGCGGCGGCTCACAGCTGTGTATTACCTCAACAAAGGGATGTCTCACAGCTCCTTGGGGCGGCAAGTAGCAGGACATAGTAAATTCCGACTTCAAAAGTAGCAGGGTCCCAAGAACCCCAAACCTGAGTGGCAGTGAGGATATATAGTGCTAACATGTTGATCTCATCGTTTGTTCGCTCAGTGCAAGTGTTCCCTGTTCCCTTGGACACAACATGTGACCTTGAGTGTTGAGAGGGCCTAGAGGTATGGGGACGGCACACGCAAGTCTAAGTGTTGGTCACTCTTTGCTGCTTAAACTTACCGTTGTATACCGTTGTTTTTTTGTAACATGCCTTGAGAAGAAAACACAAAGCTTTGTCCTTTTGAATTCACCCTGGACTTTGGAAACATGACCCAGTTGCCAACAGACAAGGTGTGCAGGCCCGGCCACCTAGAAAGGAGGCACTCATCACTCCCCAACACTTCGCCGTGAGGAAGATTTGAAAGCTGGAAGACTGTATTTGTCTAATCATCTCTAATCTATACATGTTCCTTTTGGGGAGGCTCCCGTCCCAGAGGAGGGTATCCTCCCAATCGTAACCAAACTGAGAAGGATCGAGGTCAACGCGCGAGTGATAGACAGGTCTGAGCAGTTGGGCATTGTGATCACAGTCTTCGTTCTTTGGGGGATGTCCCAACAGGTTGGGCGCCACTCTGCTAGTCGTTGGGAGGATCTGAATTGAGTAAACTAGCCTCAGCAAGACAGAGCAACGGTCACCCTGGTCGTTGGGAGGTTCTTCTGCTTTGCTTCATTGTCGCATTAGCGTGGCTTCGGCGCTGAAGTGCGGACGACCAAGGTGATGGCGGGCACCTGCGAATATTGGGCCAGCGCGGCATTTATGCATCTCGGTGAATGTCTTTCCAATCTCATGATGGAGGACGCTACTAGGAGCAAAGGGCATCGCTACTAGGAGCAAGGGCGCTAAGGATTGTTGAGGGGTTTTGACTGTCCACACCTTAGCTCATCCCCTTACTGCAGGGGTGGGGTATTGGTCGGCCTGTCCTGTAGTGTTGTACCCGGGAATTAATCTGTGGTCCTCACTAGACCGTACCGGCAATCAATTCCAAAACGATTGAAAGATTTGAAAGAAAACGATTAGGTTGCAGGTTGTCGGGATTTCCTTTATAGGACCGTTCGAAGATATTTCATCTAAAGACTATCGCACTTAGTTTATTTAAATTGCTGCATCCAGGGATGATTTGTATTTTTGGGTTTCTGTCGAGGGACATGCTAAATTATCCTTGGCAACAGTGTTTGTTTGCATAGAAGATCTCATGCTGAAGACAACAACCACCTAAATTCAGATTTCCTGGTCCTTCAGCTGTTGAGTAGCAAGCCGCTGGTCCCTGAAAAGATCTCAAAGTCGCACAGGAACCCTCCAGCATCCTTCAGCAAAAGCCTCCTTCTGGCTGGGCCATTTCAGAGCAGCATTCCGGCCCAGGATCTCCTCCCGGACTTCGATACTTTGACCCTCTTCTGGGCAGATCGACGAACGCCGCATGAAGTGATGCCCAACTTGAGCGAACGAAAGCGCTTAGCACTCAGTTGCTGGAGCCTTGGTTTGCAAGGCAGCGCTCGTGGATTGGCCGGGTAGTGCAGTTCTCAAGTGCTTCTAATCTCGCTATTCTTGCCGGAATTTGCCGGAGCTCAACTGCTGCTTTTGTGGACTGCACATGACAATAGCCTTTCAGCCCATTTCATGCACAGAAGAGGAGCAATTCATGCTTGGGTTCAATCCGGTTCGAACGGCTACAATGGCTACAACAAAATAGTTTCAACTCTTTTCCCCGGGTACTAGAGTAGCTCCCACAAGATCCTTTGTTCTTTCACCAATGCTCAGGTATGTTGATGTGACAGAAGCACCTGATGCTCCAGCCTTTCCCATGCGCCTGGAGAGTCAATCAACAGGGAGAGGGGTGACATGTGAAGTCACCAAAACGCATGATCTGGCCTCCCAACAACGTCAACGTGAAGACGTAAAGCAGAAGATATGACAGCAAATCAGTAGAGGAGTTGAGGGTGCGTCAGCTGATGCTGGCTATGCCCGCGTACTTGCCTTGACGGAGGATTTGGAGCAAGCTTATGATGGAAACGAGGGCGTCAGTGGAAGGAACGGTGCCAACAAACTGCTTAAGAAAGATTGTTGCTGGGCCTGCAGCTGCCTCCAAGCGACTTGGTGCGCCAAGACACTTTTCAGGTCTGGCAGGTATTGGAAAAGAGCATTCTACACCTGCAGACCACACTATGCATAGTAGTGGTAGAGGTCTTGAAGCTTCCAGCAAATGCAAACGAAGAAGCAGCCAATCACAAGCTCGAGGCAATGGCTGAATGACTTATGGCGATAGAGATCAAATGAGAATGAGAGTTTTGGAAACCTCATTCTCATCATGGACTGATCCTTGATGCCGAAGGCTTTGGACACGTCACTCTTCCAACTCCCAAATCCAATGGGCTTTGTTTGGAAATGGATGGTGTTGAGACATACCGTACTTCTACAGGTGAGCTCTACACGCTGACGGGCTTGCTACGGAGATCTTGGAGACCTTTGGTGTCGTTAACACGGCATGGATGAGCACGTGAAAGAAGGTCCCAGCAGCGCAGGGATGTGCAGATGATTTCCAAGGGAGAAAGCAGCAGATGCTGAGAATACAAAGAAACTAGTCTTGAAAAATAATCAACGCCAGTCAGTGTTCATGGTGATTATCAGCTGATACAAATCCTGATTGTCCATATTTGCCTTACACATGTGAAGAGACGCACTTCATGGCAATGGTCTCCGCCGCATTCGCAGGAACGTCAGGAGACTCTATCGAACTCGCCCTTGGTGGTCGAACGCATGGGAGCTCAGAGCTATCAGAGGCGCCATGAGCCATGCCTTTCCTGAGGACAAGGAGGAGTTTTAAAAACTGGGTTTGCGTATGTCCTCAGAGGACTTTAACAGAAACTCATACCCGTTTGAGCCTCCTTGACGGAAGGTTGTTAGGAATCTGAGGAGTTATCATGACAACAAAGTTTCAGGCGTGTTTGTTTTTTCTCGCATTATTTTGTTGGTACATGCACACCTGAGAAGGTCCTTCTGTAATGGTTTCAACAGGACAAGAAAGCCCAATCTGGACAGTTTCTCCATGTTTGTTTGTCTTTTTTGATGCTTTTCCATGTGCGCCATGCAACTCAAAGCACCAGCACAATGTGTCTATGATTCTCTGTCATATTCATGCCCCTGCTATTGGGGTTCCAAGTTTGTTTGCTACGGAGGCTTCACCTCAGCAGTGAAGAACATCTCGACCAACATTTGATCTTTCCGTTTGTAGGTTTGGTTTCTGGCCATGCCCATCGACTATGACTAAGCCTCCATGTTCCAACTGACACCCATGGCCGTGTGAAGTGGCAATGAGGAGAACACCCCGACAATTGCATTAGTTCCGGCTGTAGCCGATTACCGGCACAATGAACTGGGATGAACGTGTTCAACAATGAGGGTCTTCAATTCAGGTTGGTCAACCAGTTAAATGTGACCAGGTTTCTCTCCCGGCCATTCCTTTGACCTTTTTCAAGCAGCCCCAAAAAAGATATCTTCTGGATGCAAGTCAATGATGTATTCTGAATTCTTCATTGCTTATTGGGTTCCCTAACTTCATCAACAAGCAAATTAGTCAAGAGTCAATGGCCTTAAGATTATTTGTGATCAAACTATGATTTGTCGCTGGCACTTCCTGGAAGCATGTTTGGCCAAGAAGATACCGGACTTCTGTGGACGAAAGTCCGCCGCTTGAGGATCTCAAGTTCATCATCGCTTGAACGAATGCCTCCAATTGAAGTTGGCCTCCTAGTTTGAAGCTGGCGGATTCTGGCCTTTGATGTCAAAATGTGAATACTTTGATTTTGAGCATGGCATCTCAAAACGACTCGACTCATATCCAAACAGGGAGTCTGAGGCGTCACCTTTCGAGCTTTTTGTTTTCGATTGCATCGGCGTGTGCACCTCAGGGTGCAGTTGGAGCGTTCGACCGCGCAAGGACCGGGACAGAATGGGTGACGGAATAAGGATCCTCCCGGGTCAAGGCCTTTACGAGTTTGCGAGTGCTTTCGTAGTGTTTTACTTCTTTGGAGACACCAATTGATGCCAGTGCCAGTTATCCGCGGGCTTTTTGGGAAATTTAGGGCTCGCCACAGCGCACGGGAAAAAGTTTTCAAGCAAAGAGATAGAGTGAGAAGGGTCAATGGCGGACTCCCTCCTGTCCTTGTCTGAGGTGAGGTCAAACTATGTAGAGCTGGATAGTTTCCTAGTAGGAAACCATGGCCGCCCAGAGGATGCAATTTGGTTCCCGTGGTCATAACATGCCATGACTGCTTTTTGGCAACAAGGCAAATGAGAGGTGTTGGCACCTCGAGTATACATTGGAAGCCAAGCGAATCAAGTGATCTCAAAGATATGTTTGCTGCAAGTGCCAGGAGGTGCAAAAACATGGACTGCCCGCGTCGGGTTGAAATGTGTCCAGTCCAGTGCCAGTCCCGGCAATAACTTTCCCAAACAACCAGTCGCTGGAGGACTCCAGGCTCGAGAGAGGGCAGCCGAGAAGAAGCGCCGAGAAGAAGAGGCCGTGGCTGCCCCCCCGGATACCACGACCAGCGATGGCACGAAAAGTGCATCACCAGTGAGTAGATGATTATGGATGAGTGAAGAGAGCTTGAGAACCTCCCTGCGATGCTGCGAAAAGGAACGGACCAATGGATTGCCAAACACTGCTTAAGCAATGAAGGATCGTGCTGAACCTGAATTCGTCGGCTGATTAAGTGGATGCTCTTCATTCATGGTCTTTGGACATATTAGACAACATTTAAGATGTGCCAGAGATTTGCTTCGACCTTCTTGCCCAGTCCGATGCCAGTTCCGAATTGGAAATGATTTGATGTGCTCGAGGTGCTATGGACCATCTAAGCCAAGCGACTGGCCATCTACAGAAGTGCATCCCTACTATCTTGGATCACCCTTTAAGCGTCTTTAAGTGAGGTCAATTTGAGCTGTCCTCTTCAGCACCAGTACCAGCCCTGACAATCCGTGACCCGCTTTTGGGGGACAATGGCCATGTTGGCCCCATGATCAACAGCATATGACTGCCCCTGAATATCCGGAACCGCTTTTAATGACTCCTATTATGCAAGTGAGCAATGGCCCGCAAGACATGTTCATCCACATTGTGATGTGTGTTCCATTTCTATCTTTGTTTGAGGGCAACTTTGGAGACCGCACATCAGAATTTGCTGGAGAAAGTGCTACATCAAGAAGCACTCTCGCACACTAAGAAAAAAAGTGAACACCACTTAAACATTGGAGAAGGAATTGACCATCTCCAGGTTCCAGTCACCAATGACTCCAACAGTCATATACAGTCATGATAGTTTATATGTTCAACAACTCAGTTGACGCCCGGACTCTTCTTCGTGTCAGGCAAAGCGGCGAGAGGCTGAAGCCAAGGAGGACGGGGCACTCGGTGTGCTCCGGTCAGGTGTGAGTGACTGCAATGGCAGACACTAGCCAACCTTATAACATGTTGTAACAGTTTTTGAGATTGGTTTCCCTTTCCAAGTGAACAAGTGGCAAAAGAATGTCCTGATTTGGGGTATTTGAAGAGGTCAGACTGAGCTTGGAAGGTGTGGTTTTTGCCCTTGTTCTCACATTGGCTGATCGACTCCACCGATCCAATCCGAGGAGGAAGCCAAGGAATTGGAAGAGGAAGAGGTGAGCTCCGGTGGATGGGCCGTTGAGTTGCCTCACGGCCAGAGGAGGATTCCGTTCTTTAGGTGGGCAGTGTCAAAGAAAGTCCCCAAAAAGGGCAGGTTTTGATAGCAACCCTTTGTGAAAGCCAGTCTTTTTTCCGGTTGGATTTACACGATATTCAATTAGTCTGCGGTAAGAAGCGGCACTGGCCTTTAAAGGTTGGACATGCATTCACATTGAACCACGGCGGTAAAGATGAAGTCTATGAGTGTACCTGAGTTTCTATTGCTAGCTGCTTCCCGAGACAAATTCAACAGTGATAAGATGTGATAAGTGTCCATCGTTTCAATCATAAAGCACTTAAGATCAGTGGGTGAAGGTCCGGAAACACCTGAATTGTAGAATGGAAGACACTGCCTACCATAGCGTAGGGGAGTCATGAGTACTGTATAGTTTTGGGTGATCTCATGGATGGTTCTGGTATGAGTCCTTTGAGTCTAGCTCTCCAAACACTTCACTGACTCCGTACATGACAGTGTCATGACAGGAACGCCGCCGTTTTCGGGAAGAGCGTCTCGAACGGCTACGGCAGGCAGGGCCAGGTCGTTTCTTCAAAGGGACTTCAGATGGACAAGTGTGCCCAAGCAGTGCCCAGCCAACCGAATTTGCGCCACCTGGTGTCTCCCGGTGTTTCTTTTCTGGTTAGATCCTCGCCTGGCTTGTTGCCCCCTGTGACCAGAAGGCGACCTCCCGGTTTTTTTGCTGAACCTGTGATTGGCCGTTGTTCGTTTGGGATTCGATGTCTCTCAGAAACTGAAAGATTACTGTAACTGAAAGCTTAACTGCAAGATGTCAGCTGTCATCAATTGTCCTATGTACGTTTGCCAAGGGTGTTGCACTGGTTATCTATCAACATTGGATAGAGATGTGAAATTGTCTTGCTACAAACACGCTGCGTTGCATCCACATTTCTCGTTCGACTGGGTAGTCTTGGAGAGAGGTGGCATGCAATATGGACCCGCAACCTTCCACGCACAGGAGCGGCGGAGACAGCATGAGGAGGCAGGGGTATGGAGAAATGAGGATCATTTTGGCAAACCATGTAGAGGCAGCTTGAGAGTGTAAAGAACGGAAAGTGCGCGGTCGCCGGCGGTCGTCCCTTGAATTTTGATTTGGCTAGTAGGTTAGATTTAGTAGGAAAACTTAGGAAGACGTAATGTCAAATGGGAACAAGTTAAAGTCTCAGTGTGTTCTTCTCCACGGTTCATTATCATCACAAGCAACTGCTAGGAGATCGCCGCAAGATGGCAAGATGGCTGACAGGCATACCCTCAAGCTCCTGACATAGCAGTCCCCTGTCGTGGTTTGGAAGACAAGACACCTCGGATCCCATGTCTTTGCAAAAAAGAATTGGGGTGCAGAACCAACTGTGCAGCTGCTGGCATCCGCATCCTGCTTTGTACACTCGGGCAGGATCAGAAGCACTGGCAGGCATTGCAGGCCTTGCTTGGTCTTTTTGTGATCCGGTAGCCACTTCCGGAGTTCATTGGATGAGATTCC